GTTTTTCCACCCACAGACTCCCCTTAGGAACCATAGCTAACATTTGTAAAGAGCAGGAAACAAAATCTTTATTAAAAAATTAAACATGCAAGTGAGTATATAGTGCCATTTAAGTGTAAGCTCCATAGCTTCTATTTAGAGTTTATAAGAAGTCAAAGATGGTTGCATGTCTACTTTAAGATGCATTTCTCTATAGAAATCACTTTTAAAAAAATCCTGTAGAAGGCTCACCAACATTTCAAAGGCAAATTTTTGAAAAATTCATTTTAAAAGAAAATGAAAAGCTTATACATATTTCCCTTTAAAACAGAAAGAAATGCAACTTTTATTTATTTTTTTAATTTTAATTTTTTTAAATCCTCACCCAAGGATATTTTTCCACTGATTCTTAGAGAAAGTGGAAGAGAGAGGGAAAGAAAGAGCGAAACATTGATGTGAGAGAAACATCAGTTGCCTCCTGCCCACACCCGGACCAGGGCCCGGGCTGGGTAGGAGCCTGCAACCAAGGTACAGAACGGAACCCGAGACCCTTTGGTCCTCAGGCTGATGCTCTATGCATTGAGCCAAACTGGCTAGGGCAGGAATGTATCTTTTAAAAAGCTTTGCACTAGCTCCATTCTTATGTTATGTTGGTATCACATTATCTGATTCATCTATTGATGGACACAAAGAGGTCACCTTCGAATATAAGCTTTGCACTTATATATTTGGCGCTGGTACACTTCGTCCTCCAAGCCAATCTCTGTGTGACACAAGTGACAGAGATCAGCAAAAGTCCTTTGCTTTTCACACGGGTATGTTTCCAGACCCTCCCACTTGCAAAAACAAAGTACTTTCTGTTGTTTGGCTTCATCGCATTTGTGTTACTCCATTTTAACACAAATCTAAGCCGCTTTATATATGCAATCTACAAAACTGTGTCTCTTCATGTTTACTTTTCCACAAGTTACATGCTCCAAAAAGTTTTCAATGTCACTTGTGTGAAAAGGAATAGTTTGTGTTGATTTAGTCCCGGGACTTGTGTGCTGGTACAAAATTGCATATACATTGTACGTAGAGTGTTTGGGGGAAACTGTTGTGTATGTGTCCCAGCACTAAACCCAGGTTTGCTTTTCTTTCGTTAATGACAGTGGAGAAGGTCAAGAGGATGCAGGGGAACTTGACTTTAGTGGTCTCCTGAAACGTAGGTGAGAACCAAGTGATGGAGTGAGGAGCTGTGGCCTGGAAATTTTTAGATACCCACTCAGAGAAGTCAAGTTTAAAGTAGATGTGTTTCAAAGAATTTCTTATTTCTTAAAACGTGTTTTGCTTATAGAACATAACAGAGTCAACTAAGAAAGAGACAGAGAAACAACTGCGTACTAATCTGTTCAAGGTTTTAGCATACTAATCTGTTTAAGGTTTTAGCTGATGCTGTTATATTTTCTTCTTATATGTTTTATGAGTCTTTGGATATTTTCTTAGTCGGGGATGAAGAGATTGAAAATTGAGACAGAAGATTTAAATACCTAAAAACCTCTCTAAAAACCTCTAATTTCTCTCATTTCAACCATGATTCCCTATGATGCCGGAATAAAGCTTCCATTCTCCTGCCTTAGATATTTGACTGAAAAATCAATTTTACAATTTTGGTAGAAGTCTATGAGGTGTGTGTGTGTGTGTATATATATATATATAATATACACATATATATATGATATACACATATGTATATAAAATACATATATATATTTTGAAGGCACACCTACTTTAATATAGCATTTATGATTTACTGTATTTCATCAAATCTAAGACACCATCCATTTTAAGATATACCTGTATTTTACAAATCACTGAGCAAAAGAAATTGCTCCTAATAGTTTAGTATGACATATTTTTTATTATAAGATACATCTTTCTTTCAGAGATGTTTAAAATGTCAAAAAATGTTCATTTAAAAAGAAATAAAATATGGTAGTAAAATAGAAATAAATATTTAGCATTATCACATCCTGTTAACATTGTTCACTCTTATAATGAAATTTGGACAACTTCATTATGGATGTATAGCATATAATCATTTTATATGATTTCTGTCTATACAGTTGCATATATAATTATATCATATGCAATATTATATTTGTTATATATAAAATTAAACATATCCAGATATTTAGTGAAGAAACAAGAAGAAATTGATTGTGTTTATCTTCTAAATTTGTAAGTTAACAGTAAATCTACAACTCTAAATTGATGATATATAATATTGATATCAGTTTTCATTTAACTTTTTAGGTTAACTTTTTAGACCTTTTAGTGCTTGCTATGGTTGTTAAAGGAACACGAGTACAAATATGCTTGACAGCAGATTATTAAAAAAAAATAACTGGGATATCTCAGTTTAGTTTGATGCCTTTATTCAAGTTCCAATGAATGAAAAATTCACCCCAGCTCTAAACATTTAGGTTGAGAACAGAAATATTAAAAGGTGCAATTTATTAACTACCAATGGATATTAGCCAATCAATATACATTGGCAGTATCAAATCATCTTTCCTTCTTTGGACACTTCAAATTAATGCTTCAGTTTATAACACAAATTGACACTTTATGAAGACAAGAAAGGTTTTTTCCCCCTGCAAATATTTACTCAACCAGCAAAATATGGTTTTCATTGTATGTATAGAATATAATGCTACAGGTGATGTGAGGGGAAAAAAATCCAGTGTCTCCCAGTGCCTAGTACACAGAAAGGGAAGAATACATATTTGTGGGAGGGAGAGAATAGTGCTAAAAACATGGATTTGAGTTTCAACTCTACCATTTACTGATTGCATGACTTTGGTCAAATTATATGTCCTCTCTGAGACTTGGTTTCCATATATGTAAATGTGGAGAATAAAAACTACTTAATAGAATTACTGTGAGAATTAAATGTAAAAGGCATGGCTCACAGTAGGTGTTGAATATTCACTTCCACCAAAAATGTGACATTTTCCCTTGAAGTGTTTATATTTGTAAACAAAATATATACATATTCATATCAACCAGTCAATCAAAACATGATACAGTAGATTATTAATTGTCATACTCTGGGTAAAAAGATAAAAGGAAAAAGAACAGACTAGGTCTACCAGTTTGCAGAGTAAAAGAAATCATCTCATGGCGAAAATGACAAAGGAAAAAAATTACTAGGACATATGGGCAGCCAACATGTCTCATTTTCTTTACATCCCCTAATTATGATTTTGACTCATAAATAGATTGTTGTTAACATAAGAATATATTCATTTAATATACTATACTAATCCATCAACATAACTTTACAAATCATTGTGTTTTTCTACTAATTTGTGAATTGCATATGTTTTCATTGTGGTAATGACACTTGGTTACCATATCTACTCTAAGAGTTATGGCAAAACCCCTATCTGAATATATATCATTATAACCAACATCTCCATACAACAAAAGATATCCCTGCCCTGAGTAAATCTTTTAGGTAGCATCTTGTTATGGGTTTTGACCTATATAAATACTTGAAAGTTTTATTCTACATGAAATTTCTATAACTGCTTTGTACTTCCCTAGGATCATCAAGTTATAGAAATTTTGATGTAGATGAAAGTACTGTGAATGTTATATAGGTTAATCCCAGTGCTTGGAAAGGAATCAGGAGTGCCTATAGAAATGTGAATTTTTCTCCCTACTATAAATTAATGCAGCCATGCAAGTAGGGCCATCTGCAGCCACACATGTTAAGAAAAGATATGTTCTGGATGAGTTAAGGAAATGCTACAGATAGGAGCCTTGATCTCACAATCCAGTACAAAATGAGGAGTATTTCAATCTTGCAATTTGGGATTCAGTTAAGTGACAGAGAGAAAAGGAAGGAACAGGCAAGAGGTCATCGATGTTTGCACACAAAATTTGATAAAATTAAGAATGTGGCAGAGTGAGGTATATTTTGGTGTTTTAATGGAAAAACATAGTGAGGATTGGTTTTATGAATCTATTAGTACCAACAACACTTAAGAAATCACATGGAAAATGATCTTTATTACTGGCTTCCATCATATAAATATTCACCTCACGGATCTAGGCATGCCTCAGTGTTTCACTTGTGCCTCTTTTTAGCTATTTTAATTTAGCTTGCTATCTTTAAATCCTTTCGCCAGTGTCAGGAGAATACTTGAAATGTATATGTATCTAAGTCTTCTTGGCTGAAATACAAATTTAACACAATGTATCACAGCACAATTTTACAGTTTGGGGACTATATTGAGGCTGGAATGCGAGAAAAATAGAGCATTAATAAAGTGGATTGAGGGAATATTCACAGGGAATATATACATATGTACATATGCATTTTAATTGCAATTCTTCCAAACTTCCTACAAAATATTTAAAAGACATATTTGAAATTTAGAGTGCTTTCAGGCAGTAGATTTAGTAGATCTGGCAAATTATTACTAATATTCCAACATCAGTACATTTCCCAAACATTTCAATGTCCCCAGGTTAATTAGAGGGTGTTGTTATTTCAGTGAGTGAACACAATACTTGTGTTTTTAAGAGGCACACTTTTCTAAGAGTGTTTTCTAGTCCTTTCCACAAAGGCTACTGATGGACCAGTGACCCCCACTCCCTTCCACTTCCCAGATTAGCCTCAGCATCCTCTGCCTCTAGGTAAAATGACTTACATGACAATGGAAATTAGATATTCAGAAGTCATCCTTGCCTAACATCACCCTAAACTCTATGTTAATATTTGTATTCTCCTCCCGTTCCCATAATTGCAATCCAGCATTTCCTCAAGACACGGAAACAAGTGTGATTCATGTGACAATGCAAACATATGTAATCCATCATTTGCTAACATGATAGCATGAGTCTGTTTTCACACTGATGTTTAAGATGTGTTGACCAGTTTTCCTGGAAAATCATATCCAAACCAGCATTATTCACAGTAAGTAGTCACTGTAACATTCCCTAATTAATCTGATAAAAAGTCAATTAAATGTCAACAAAATCAGGATGATTTAGCCAATGAAGGAAATCCATTTAAATTATATTTTGCATTTACCCTAAGGATCTTTTCCTAAAGATTGTTTATTCCTGAGTTTTTGTTTCATTTTTTGGTTTTAAAACAAGGGCAAATATACTTTAAATCAAATATTCTTTAGTTGTATATGTTCTTTACATGTTCTATATGTTCTTTAGTCAGTAATCAAAGTTTTGAGTCATAATTTTGACAATTACACTAAGAAGTTACTATTCCCTTGTTCATGTAACTCTTAACCATTTGCTTTAGGGTTTAACATTTATATCTTTATAACTCATACCAAAGCTGTCCTAAAAATTTCAAGATCGTACTTTAAAATGAAAAAAAAATAATTGGCCTCGTTCTCCTTCCCCTGCCAATTTAGAAAACAATTCTTTTCAAAATCATATGTATCCACAAAAATCAGACAAAAAAACAACCAACCAAAAAATAAAATAAAATGTGGCAATTTCAAATATTTTTTGCATTAAAAAATAGCAAAAAATGATTAGCATACACATTTACTAATATGGTAAGAAACACACTATTTGCAAAATCCAAAGGTGTGTGTACTATATGTGTACTGTCTTCATATATAAATAGATAGGTAGGGCGTGCACACCCAATGAAGGTAGAGAGCCTTTTCCCCTCATAGACCAATATTTAAAACTTCTAGTTCTTAATCTACTTTTTTCAATAACCATATCCTAGATGAATACTGGTCTTAAGTTCCTCAAATCTCACCATCTAGACTTTTCAAGTTGAAAAATAAGTGAAAATACCTTCAGGCTATTTCCTAATAGCCTCCAATCCTCCCTCCCCCCCTCCCCGCCCACGTGCTATGCACTAGGAAAACCAGTGTTCCTATACGTGCACCTATCTGATCTTTAACTATCTGGAAGCTTCCCTGCGACTTCAAGCAAAGCCTAGACTTCTTCTCAGCCTAAATGCTCAGACACTAAACAGAGCTTTCAACACTGAACCGGAAAACCCTTCCCGGTCGGTCGTTAAGGGCCAGCGAGCAGCCGCTCAACTAAGCAACGGTTCTCCCCGGTTAGGGAGGTGAAGCAGCAGCAGGACGAGGAACCCGAGATAGACGTGTGGGAGCTGCTGAAGAATGCGAACCCCAACGAGTACGAGAAGATCGCCTTCCAGTACGGCATCACCGACCTGCGCGGGATGCTCAAGCGGCTCAAGCGCATGCGCAGGGTGGAGAAGAAGAGCGCAGGTGAGCCCGCTCGGGGGCGTGGCCCCGGGGGAAACCCCGCCCGAGACCCTCCCTCCCCCGCCCTGGGTTTGGGGTGAGACTGGCTGGGGTGGGTTTTGTAGGAGCAAACGCTTCTCTTGATTACCTTTGTTTGTTTTTTTGTTTTGTTTTTTAATTTCTTTATTGGTTAAGGTATTACAAATGTGTCCTCATCCCCCCATTAATCCCCAACCCTCCCCCCCCATACTCTTGATGACCTTTGGCTCCAGGTGAACTTGTCCACTGCCCTGCACAGCACTGACTCTGTAGGTAGTAGACAAGCTACTGAAGGTGTAAGGTTAACAGAAGGATTACATTAAAATACTGCCACCTACTGCATATAATAGAGCAGTGGTTCCCAACCTTCCTAATGCCGCGACCCTTTAGTACAGTTCCTCATGTTGTGGTGACCCCCAACCATAAAATTATTTTCGTTGCTACTTCATAACTGTAATTTTGCTACTGTTATGAATTGTAATGTAAATATCTGATAATGCAGGATGTATTTTCATTGTTACAAATTGAACATAATTAAAGCATAGTGATTAATCACAAAAACAATATGTAATTATATATGTGTTTTCCGATGGTCTTAGGCGACCCCTGTGAAAGGGTTGTTCGACCCCCAAAGGGGTCGCGACCCACAGGTTGAGCACCGCTGTAATAGAGTATTAAATATTCCCAATGTCACTGACAATCTTTCAGTGGCCCCTTCCTCCAGCCTCCACATCTCCCCCACTCTCTAATCCTTCACTCTTGTTTAGGCAGAGGAGATTCGATGTCTCTTTTACCATCAGATTCTTGTAAATTCACTTCTCACAGCCAATAAGGTTATCATCGTATCTTGTGAAATAGCGATGCTGCTCCCTGGTGACCTAAAGTGGATGCAGTTCGTGTGGTTTTTAAATACCCTTTAAAAAATACTGTAAGACATTGACATTTAAACTAAAAAAAAGAAAAAGAAAAGAAATATGTTTTAAATTGATCATTAGCTCTTCATAGTTTCCTATACTTGGTCATCGTCAGTTATGGTTTATGACACAGCAGGTTAACATATCAATCCAATTCTTGTTTATTGTTTGTTAATGTCCAAATGGAATTTAAAGAATCTCACCACCTCCTTTTTAAAATCTGCCCTTTATTTCTCCGTGTAAATTGGTTGAGAAATGGCCCCATAGAAATATACAAGTGTTTTGTTTCTGTTTTGTTTACCAACTCGGCCATTCTCAGACTTCACTCTCTCGGGCTCCTGAAGTTTTATTTCTGAGCGGTGTCTGACACACCCGCCTTCCTTGTACTTGTCACTTAACTCTGAATTGATGTCTCGAGGTATGTGATAGACAACTTTTTTTTAAAAGCTAATATGTATTTTATCTTGCTAAAATATGAGGACATGAGCTTGTTTGAGAAGTAGTATAATAAAGTTGGAATGATGGAAATGCAAGTGTGAAACTTCGTGAGGCATTGCACACTTAAAGGTATTTCACAAACTGTTTAAATGAGAATTACTATCTTTAAAATCATAAAACATATGAACTTTTAAAAAGGTCAACTACCTTTGTTTAGGACCTTTCAAAGACAATATTTTAAAGGGCCACTATGTTCTATGTTATTTAAATTTTGTTGAAACCCTGAGTTCCTAACTACATATGTAAGAGGAGTTTTTAATGTGCCACTATTTGGGCAAGTATCCACAGTACAAAAATATCTGATAAGCCTATTTCAATTAGTCAAAGGCATTCAATGTAGTCTTATGAGTCATTGAATTTATTTCACAGATTCTAGATTTAAAAAAAAACTATCTGTGACATAGAAGACATACAAAGGAAATACCAATAATCCTGACAGTAATTGCTAGTATACTAGGAGGATAAGCATATTCTTCAAATTCAATTGGGTGCTTTATATCATACATCCCCTGAAGGATTAGGACAATCATTTTTAAAGCCTTCTCAGTAATTCCTTTCTTATGTTTCTTCCAAAAACATGTGGATTCTCTTTAAACTTTATAAACCATTTTATTGTATGTAAGTAAGCCCAGAATTCTAAAATATAAAGGGTAATTTGTTAGGTTTCTAATTTTTTTCTTCTTTGAGTCTTAATTTTTCATTTTGTTTTGGGTTCTCATACATATATTGACTATTTAAATTCATAGCATACATATATGCATATTAACATAGTTTTGCTTCTTCTCTCTACTAGCTTTTGCAAAAATTCTTGATCCTGCATATCAGGTTGATAAAGGAGGCAGGGTAAGGTTTGTTGTGGAATTGGCAGATCCAAAGTTGGAGGTGAAATGGTATAAAAATGGTCAAGAAATTCGACCCAGTACAAAGTAAGTGAACTTTACCAATAATCAGTGATAACTATATCAATCAAACAGTAGTTTGACTTAATTTTCTATGAATAACAGCACTTTTTACTTAACCTTTACAAAGCAAAATTATGTAGAGGGAGAATAAAAACTTTTCATGTATTTTGGAACCATTAAAATTACAGCGCTGTATGAATTAAACCTTGTTTTAGATTTAATTCTATGCAAACTATTTCAGATGACTCCCAATTATGGTTTTTGTCACTATAAGTTATATGTGATTATATCAGGGTGTTACCAAACTTCTCTCAATTTTTTAAAATAAAAGTTTGAAAAATTTTGAAATACATATTTGATATACCAGCTGGGTGTCCCAATTTATAAGTACATAAGTTTTGTTTTTCCAGAGTAGCATCCAAAGCCTGTGTTTTATTATTGCTTGGCCCTCGCCCAAATGAAGAAGACAGACTAATCCCTGATGTCTGATGGTATCGCTGGTCTATTATGAAACTGATTTACAGAGATCCTTGTCAGCCCGAGAGATTTTCAACTCCAATATATTTTTTAAGTTAATAGGATTCACATGCATGTCTATAAAAGACTTTAATGCTAAAAATTTGTCACTTCTGTAGAACAATTAGGTGGCTTCTGATTTCTTAATGTGGTCATGCCTACAGAGTGCCTGTGATGATAGTTTGTACCCGATAAAAACCTCTTGAAGGTGGCCTGAATTCACCAAAAACATAATTTTACTTGGTTATCTTAGTCTAGAAAATGTTTAGTGTTTTATCCTCAAAATCTTCAATTTGAGAATTTCCCAAATAAAATGTTTTTCTGTAGTCTGTTTTAATGCCCTACTACACTCATCCATAATCCAAATCATAGATAATGAAATTGGGCAGTCTCCTTGGCTTTTAGTTTTTTTGTTTCCAAATACCCAAGTTCTTTCTTAATAGATGGAAACTGTGATCTGATAACCCTAGTTCTTAAGCTCATTTAAGAGAATATTACATTCTATAGAATTACTGTCTATATTAACGATTAAGTTCATATTATTGTTTAAATTGTGTAATCATTTATTTGCCCCAAAAGTCTGTGTCACTGGACTAGGCAAGAAGTGGAATCAATGAATCAGTGAATAAGATCAAGGCTCTGTCCCTCTACAAAGTAGATAAATTGGTCATTTAAAAAATGTATAGAGTTGACAATCTCTCTGACAACCTCAGACAACCCTATTTTCCAAAAATGGGTTAAAAATATTAAATAGAAAATATGTGAACACTGATTTATATTGGAAATAAAAACCTTATATAGAAGAAAATGACTGAAATTAAATATTAGTATATAAATATGCATATTATGCATTATGAAGATAAAAATGGTTTCATGTTTGCTGTTCATTAAACTACTTAAGATATGCTTCATAAATGGCAGATCAAAATTATATCCCTGTCTTTCAAGCATTACCAAATTATAAGCCAAGTTTTCTGGCAAGAAAGAAAAGCATAAAATCAGGTTTATAGACTCTGTTTATCTTCTTCCTATTTAAAATAGATACATCTTTGAACATAAAGGATGTGAAAGAATTATGTTTATCAATAACTGCGGGCTAACAGATGATTCGGAGTATTATGTGACGGCTGGCGATGAGAAATGTTCCACTGAGCTCTTTGTGAGAGGTAAAGTGAAATCTCTTACTGTAGTCATCAAGAGCTATGGCTGTCTGCTGGGGGTAGTAAATAAAGTGAAAGTGATGAGGTAAGGTCTTGAGCTCCACAACAGAACTAAGTAGCATCTCTAGAGATAGTTTAGTTTGGACGCTCAATGGCTCTGTATTGAAGCTACTCTACCCTGGCAGTTAATGTATGTCCTAACTAATCTTCAGTTTCATTGAAGACTAGAAAAGCCAAGGAGAGAAAAAACTGCTGAGGACAAATGCCTATAGGTTTTGACTCAAGCGAGCAGTATTTTATAAAATAATTATTCTAGTTGTACCTTCTGAAACCCAATGAAGTCTACAGAATAATCCTCATCTCACATGCTCAGCTGATAAAAAAAATAGATTTCTCTTGAACCCAGCTTCACAGCTAAAGGAGCATCAGTGGTTGGCACTGAGAGCTCTAAAGAGTATCATTTCCTAAGACATTGTGAAAAGAGCCAGAAGGTGTCAGTGAAGCCAGCCACCACTTATTTTTATTTTTGTGAGACCCCTGCTCAAGACAATTCTGCAATCTCTATCACCCATCTAGAGCCAGAATCGAAGAATTTCAGTCTCAAAGGTTCTCCTTCATCAGAAATGTCTATCACCTGGTATCTTATTTGTCCATCCTCCCCGTCCCCCACAGCAAAATGATGTTTGATACATTTTGTCTGCTCTCTAGAACAATAATTTATTTGATTTGATGAGTTTTGGGAAAATTTACTCAGGGTTGTCAGCTATTTATTTTGCTAAGAAAAGTCATAAAGACCCCCACCTCCTATCTACCACCATCAGACTAACCATAGCTCTGTGGTATACTTTCCTATTTCTGGTTTTTCATCGGTGAATAAGTTTGGGGTTGTGAGGCAAATTTGGGACATTTAATGATTCTGATTCTCTCTTGTTTTCACCCTAGAGCCTCCAATTATGGTGACCAAGCAGCTGGAAGATACAAATGCTTACTGTGGGGAGAGAGTGGAATTAGAATGTGAAGTGTCTGAAGATGATGCAAATGTAAAATGGTAAATATCTTTAATGAGGTCTGTTCATTTTTAATAGACACACAAAAAAGTACCTTCATAGTTTGGACAATAGGAAATTATTTTTACAGATATGAAAAGAATTCCAGTCTCATTTGTGTTAGTATAAATGGTAACTAAAACTATACTAAGATACTGTTTTGTTTTTTTCCTATGAAACTGAAAAAGATCTGAAAAGCTGTATTGGTAAGGATGTAGGAAAAGTAGGTTCAAGGTTGCCAGGTCTGTTCAACCCCAAAGACAATAGATGCTCTTCACCTCTATACCATGCTTCCTCTCACTATACCATGCTGGCAACTTACATGGAATATATACTTTTTAAAAATTTTATTCCTAAGCATTTTATTGTTATAGTACCTCAGAAAAATATTTTAGACTAGGAATCACCAATTACTTAAAAAAATAAAACATTTTTTTGGTCAGATGGAAATATTTAATTTAATCCTAAATTAAAATGCTTTGTTGAGAAGTATAGTAAATTACATGGCCAGAGTCTGTAGTAATTGGCACAGAGTCAATTGTTCATTCTAATCTAGATTCATCAAATGTATTAAGCCATTATTCTCACTAGTGTACGACAAAGGCCCAAACATGGGTAATATCTGCTCTTGTATATTCATCTGTTTGATCTTGAATAGAAAGAGGGAGCTTATAGTCTTTTCATGTAGTTCTTCAGACATTTGCCATAATAATAATTTATTGATAGATTGATTTATACATGCTTTAATTCATTAAATAGTTCTTGAATATTTGGTGTCCTGACAGATATTCTACAAAACACTGGGATATGGGGAAAACAAGGCCAGTAAGGCCCATCTCTTGAAGGGTCATTTATAAAAAAAATTTAATCTATTTTAACCCAGGTTTAAGAATGGTGAAGAGATCATCCCTGGTCCAAAATCAAGATACAAAGTCAAAATTGAGGGCAAAAAACACACTTTGATCATAGAAGGAGCAACCAAGGCTGACAGTGCAGAATATTCTGCAATGACAACAGGAGGACAATCATCCGCTAAACTTACTGTTGGCTGTAAGTGAGACTTCCTTGGATGTCTTCCTTGTTGGCTTACCAGTGGTGTTGCATTTGTTAATTCCATTTTAGAAAAGTTTCCATCTATTTGATTTTTACCTGTGGCAATTTTAAATACATAAAATTAAGTTCCATTCTAGCTGTGTGTCTATGTCCTATCAACCGGGGTCTCTGAGAAAAGAACCAACTATTCAAGTTCATAGTAAAGCACCCTTAAGGAGAGGGAAGGATTAAGACCACCTGCCAGAGAAGTTACCCGTGGTTAAGAAATATTTTCATCTCCAAATCACATAACAGATGATAAATAGTTAGACATGATATCAACTCTTGATCATGTTTGCTTCATCCATAGGTGAACTTGCCATCTGTTCATTAAATAAACACTCAACATTCTGCAATTACATTTGAGATGAGTTACTCAACTAATAGGCCTCAATTGAGAACACTGAAGACCTAATTTGCTCATATGCTTCAGAGGCATGAGAGAATTAATGTACTTCCCCTAAATGTCCACTATTAGTTCTCAGTGGCAGTCTGTCCCTTTCAGTTAGCTATGAAAATTAAAATAGCAGATTTCGCAAGAAGATTGATAATACACACAGAGCAGAAATCCTACTCCCTTACTGCTTTCTTAGTCCAGTTGCAATTTATATGATCACCGAATTATTCAAAAGTAATTTCATTACACTCCTATGTTTCCTGGAGTGATGGCCATTTTAATTTAATATCAAAAAGGCTTATTAACCATAAGCAGATCCTTATCTGATATTTGTATACATTTAAAGCAAGTACAGTCAGTTCTGTTACAATGCAAGATATGTATTTCTGAAAATCATTGTGCTATCCAAAGTCATGAAATAAAAACCAAAGGACTAGGGGGAGGGAACGAGGTTATAGACACAACACTCAAAATTTTTGTCAGCAACAAATCTTACAAAAAAACCAAAAAGAACCTAATAAAAATATTAGCAGTTTTACACATGTTAAGTGGTTTATAAATAGAACAATATATATGGTGCTTTACCTTAAAAAGGAAATGACATTTGCTTATGGAAATGGTGTCAAAAGTGTTGCAGCTTGTGAGCTATTGGATAGTGGTAATCTCAGTTATGCATGGATGTGGCTCACATCACATGGGTGAACTGAGGCAGCTGGTAGATGTGTGTGTGGGAATGTGGGGGGTGTTTTGTACAGTCCTACCTGGCTCAGCTCAGCTGGGTGCAGTTTTTTAAATTCACCTAATCTTTCTCATGAATGAAATTGTATGCAATCAAACATGAAGTTGGTGTTATGCTACAATTGCCCCCTTAATATATTAATTGCATTGGAACAAATTCTCATTTTCAAAGCAATCCTTAATAACAAAACTGGCCATACTGTTGTGAAATGACACCATGTTTGGGTTTGGCACTGATAACTGTCTATTATTTTTGTAGTGAAGCCTCTGAAGATATTGGCACCTCTAAGTGATCAGACTGCAAAACTTGGAAAAGAAATCTGCTTGAAGTGTGAAGTCTCTGAAAACATTACAGGAAAATGGACTAAAAATGGGCTACCTGTTCAGGAGAGTGACCGCGTAAAGGTTGTACACAAAGGAAAGTAAGTAAGCTAGGCAACCCTGAAGTGAAGGCTGGTCCCCATCTTTACTTTCTCCCCTTCCTAAATTACACATTGGCAAGAATGTTTGAAGAGACGTCCAAGGGAAAGAATCTATTTCTGATTCACTGCTGCCGAATAGCAGGAGCATATGACTTCTCTGTTATACATCATGTCCTACCTGTAATCCTGGGTCTGCACCTTACAATATGGTGCTTTGTCTATTCAAAACCCACTGACTGATTCTTTCTATCTAAACACGAGGTTAGAAGAATGATACTGAATTCTAGTTGAGGAACTGGTCAAATTGGATTAACTGTCCCTAACCAATAAGTGTCACATGACCTTTCCATAATTTTTTTTTGGGGGGGGGCATAATATCCTAGAACCTAGCAAAAAAAACCTAAGGCATGGGCTCTCAGACCTAGATCCATGGATCCTAACGATATCATGAATGAACTTTAAGGGCCCTCATAAGTCCTCTGAAATTGTAAGCAAATTCTCTGTGTATAAAAACACCTGTTTTTCTCCAGCAAGAAGATCCGTAGTGGCCATCAGATTTTCACTGGCTCATGACCTCAATAAAGTTAAGAAGTATTACTCTTAGGTTTGGTATATAAAGCCAAAGTCAAGGTTATTCTTAATAATTTCTTGAATCTTAAAGTATGGTATAGGTGAGATATTTTCTTTTAGCCTTTTTAATGCCATGAGATAAATAACAAATAAGAGGTTCTTGCTTAATAAGTAAGTTATATTTGTAGAGATAACTCCATATAGTCTAAAGTAGATATAAATATGGACCAATACATAGGAAAATTAAGACTTCACATTTGTCTCTCTCTAAGCTGCACTAAACAAGTTAATCAGATAAAAGCCAGGTGTCTCCTCAGTTTGGGTCAGATACAGTCTAAATCTTTGCAAAGTCTTAGAAATATGGTTTTCTCGTTTCCTTAGAATCCACAAATTAGTGATAGACAATGCTCTCATTGAGGATGAAGGGGAATATGTGTTCACACCAGATGACTACCCTGAAACTTTGTCTGCCAAAGTTCATGTTATTGGTGAGTAGATAAAAGTAACCTTTGCAACGTCCTGTTTTTTTATTTTTGTTGTTTCATACCTTGGAATTGTAACATATTCAAAACTATGTGATGTTTAAAGAAAAAAATAAACGAACTGTTATACACTCCCATTTGGTTGATTCTTAAGAAATCTTACTATGAAGTAGTTTTGAAAGGTGCCTCCTTTACACTGACTCCTCTTATGTTCTTTTTGGAGAGATAAAATATTGATTACTACCAATGTTTAACACTAGCCAAGTACTAGCCCAGATATTCACATGGGAATGACTGTCTGATAACAAAGGCCATGTTTAATATTCCAGATCCTCCTAAAATCAACCTGGATGGTCTTGATGCTGACAATACAGTAACAGTAATTGCAGGGAACAAGCTTCGTCTTGAGATTCCCATCAGTGGAGAACCTCCTCCTAAAGTTATTTGGAGCCGAGCAGATAAGGTTTGTTCTATACACACACACACACACACACACACACACACACACTGCCCACCCCACTTCCTGACCTCCATTAGTTAGATGAAAGAAGAAGCAAATAAATGTACAGGGGTATAGCAACAGAGTAATTCTTTTGATAAAGAAAGATCAGTGATTCTCAGACAAATGTAATAATTATTCATTTACCTTTCATATATATGACTACCTTCTATGTGACCTGGCATACTTTTATGTGCAGTGAACAAGATTATATATTTCATTCTAATGAATATCAGGGAATGGGATGGAGGAGAAAGAGGCAATGAATTATTTAAATAAATAGATGGATAAAATTATTTTGCATAGTAATAAGTGCTATGAAAATTAAACAAAAATAGGCTGATATAATTAACAAGTGACTGTGTTGTGAATGACAAAAGCCTCTTTGAATGACAACAAGGAACCCATTATGTGAAGATCAAAGAAGAAAGATTTTCAGGTGAAGTCAATGCAAGTGCAAAGGAAAAAAGGAGAGAATGAACTTGATGTGTCGGAAGAATAAAAAGAAAGCCAGTGTGACTGGGGTAGCGTGAGGAAGAGAATAATAAGGTTGTAGTGGTAGACTAGTATCAGCTCATATGTGACCCTGTGGATTCCTATATAAAACTAGATGCCAGGTGCACGAAATTTGTGCACTTAGAGGGGGGAGGTCCCCTCAGCTCAGATGGTGAGAGGGCACAGGCCAGGCTGAGGGACCCCACTGGTACAGGATCAGGGCCAAGGAAGGATGCAGGAGGTTGGTCAGCCGGGGAGGGACCATGGGAGGGCTCCAGGGAATGTCCGGCCCATCTCGCTCAGTCCCCATCAGCTGGACACTAGCAGCAAGCTAACCTACCGGTCAGAGCATCTGCCTCCTGGTGCTCAATGCACGTCATAGTGAGCAGTTGAGTGGCTTTAGCATATCATTAGCATATTACACTTTGATGGGTTGAACGGCCAACCAGATGACCGGATGCTTAGCATATTAGGCTTTTATTATATAGGATGTCGTATGGGCAGCAAAACTACTCCATATTATTTTATAGTTTTGGATATGTATCATTATAGATTTGTCAAAACCCAGGAATGTACAATACCAAGAGTGAACCCTAATGTAAATTATGGACTTTAAGTGATAATAATGTGTTACTGTAACAAATGTGCTGCTCTGACATGGGGTGTTAATAGTGGGAAAGGTTGTGCCCCTCCAAATATAGGGATGGGTTATATGAGAACTATCTGGACTATCTGTTCAATTTTGGAGTAAACCTAAAACTAATTTCTTCTTCTTCATCATCATCATTATCATCATCATCAAAGAGTTGGTGAGTATTTCCTCCTTTTCTATTTTCTAGAAGAAAAAAAAGTATCATTGAGCCATGGAACAACTTCAAGTAGTGCAATTGGAGTCTTGAAAGAGGGGGTCAGAAAACTATTTAAAGAAATAGTAGTCAAAATGTTTCCAAATTTGGCAAAAATTATAAATGCAGATACAAGAAGCTCAATAAAAACCAAGCACAAGGAGCATTAAGAAAATGACTCCAAGACTCAACATAATTAAATTGCTCTAAGCTTGTGAGTAGGAGAAAACCTTAAAAGTAGAGGAAAAAGTCACATTTAATACACAGGAACATAGGCAAGGATTACTTCAGATTTCTCTGGAAGCAAGGCAAGTGAGAATACAGTGGGCAACATCTTTAAAGAAAAAGACTGTCAACCTAGAATTCTATACTCAACAGAAATACTTTTCAGAAATGAAAACAAAATAAAATGATTTTCAGATATATAAAATCTGAAAAAATCATCAGCAGTAAACCTGAACTATAAGAAATGCTAAAAGAAATCCTTAAGTTAGAAGGAAAAGGTTATCAGATGAAACATTTTCACAAAGGAACAAAGAGCATCAGGAATGGTAACTACATTTAATAGATAAACCCATAAGAGGTTTTAAAATATTTAAATCTCTTAAAAAGATAATTGACTGAAAAATAATAACAATGCACTGTGTGGCCTATAATCATAGGTGTAAGTAGAATTTATGACAATAAAAACATAAGGTCAAGTGGGGAGAAATTGAAGTAAGGATCAGTAGAAATAAAATGGAAGTATGCTATTGTAAGTTTCTTTTCTTTGCTATACATGAACTATTATAACATTATGTAAAGGTAGACCATGAAAAGTTAGGGATGTATACTATAAACCCTAAAAGACCTACTAAAATAAAAAATGATTTATAGCTAATAAGCCAACAAAGGACATAAAATGCAATCACCAAAACATTAATTCAAAAGAAAGGCAGGAAAGAAGCATGAAGAACATATGGGACAAATAGGGGGGGAAAGCAAGATATAAAATTGCAAAGAGAAATATATAAATTAGAGATTTCAATATTCTTCTCTCAATAGTTCATAGAACAAGAAGACAGGCAATCATTAAAGTATACAGAAGATTCAAAGAATACTATCAACCATCTTCAACTAATCGACATTGATAGGACACTCCATTGAATACCAAGAATGGGCATTATGTTAATAAGCACATTTATTATAAGGAAATTTACCAAGATAAACCATAAAAAAGTCTCAGTAATGTTAAAGGATTTAAGTTATGCAAGGTATGTTCTCTGACTACAATGGAATTAATTAGAAAGGAATAACAGAAAGATATCTGGAAATTTTCCAAATATTTGGAAATCAAGGAACATTTTTCTGAAGAATTCATAAATTAAAGAAGTAATCATAAATAAAATTAGAAAATATTTATGAACACACCACATATCAGAATTTATGAAATGCTGCTAAATCAGTACGGAATAGCCTTCTATCTATAAAAGAAATGGAATTTGTAGTTAAAAACTTGTCACAAAGAAAATCCCAAGTCTAGATGGCTTTATAGAGAGTTCTACCAAACACTTAAATAAAGAAATAATACCAATTCTGCACAAACTCTTCCAGAAAACTGTAGAAGAGAGAATAGTATTTCTCAATTCACTCTTGAAGGCCAGTATTACTCTTATAGCAAAATCAGAAAAAAACAACAACATTATAAGAAGAGAAAACTACAGACCAATATCACTCATGAACATAGATGAAAAAGTTCTACATGAAATTTAGCAAATTGAATCCAAAGATATAGAAAAGGAATGCTACATTATGACAAAGTAGAGTTTATCCCAAGAATGCAAAGGTTGTTTAACACTTGAAAATCAACTAATATAATTTACCATTTTAATAAACTAAGGGGAAAAAGTATGATCATCTCAAAAACATTTGACAAAAACATTTGACAAAATCCAATAGCCTTTTCTAATATCTCTCAGCAAACTAGATTTATGGTGAAGTGGTTTGGGGCTTTTTTGGTTTGTTTTCTAGACTAAATATAAGTTTAGTATAAAGTATAAGAAATCTAATGGTTAAACTTCCCATTTGTATTTTATTTTTCTTGAATATTATTTCATAGTTACTTGTTTAAGAAGATTTAAAAATTATTGCACTTTGGTCAGAACAATAATAAATATATTTTATTAGTGAAAAAAGTGTAATGCTGCTTTAAAGTTATGGTTTAAGAGAAATGGAAAGAAAGGTGGGAAAGAAAGCGGAGGAGAAGAAAAAAAGAAAAACATTATAGACTGCTCAACTTCACTTTGGGAATGAGATGTCCATTCTCTTGTGTCCTCTTGGAAGGGAAAAATCAATACTCAATTAACTTTATGAAAAATTGGCATTGTGACCTTCAAACCTTTTCAATATTTTTAAAATATCAAGACCTCTGAAAGATGGAAAAAATCATTATTTAGTTCTTGAAATGAATTTAACTATTTCAGATTTTATATGCAGAGACTTGTCTCCTAGAATAACACTCTGTACTCATATTTTTAGTCCTCCAACTTTTTCTTTGGTGAATTAATGGTTGGTGGGCTTTGGAGTCAAATCCCAATTCTACTGCTTCTTAGCCATGTGGCCATGGGCCTCAGTTTTCTCATGCGTGAAGTGGGAATATACCGTTGTCCTTAGCGTTGATGGAAGATTAAACTAAGAATGTGTATTTTGGGCATTAGTACCTTGTCCAGCTTGGGTTATACGGCACTCCAGTGTAGTCCTTGTTGGTGTATAGGTCATGCCACATTCTATTTCTCTCCTCCGTAGGCCATCATGGAGGGCAGTGGCCGGATAAGGGCAGAATCTTACCCTGACAGCAGCACGCTGGTTATTGACGTCGCTGAAAGAGATGATTCTGGTGTTTACAACATAAATCTGAAAAATGAAGCTGGGGAAGCACATGCCAGCATCAAGATTAAAGTTGTGGGTAAGTCCTCCTATCCAGTTTGGCTCAGTGGGTAGGGCATTGGCCTGTGGACTAAAGGGTCCCGGGTTTGATTCTGGTCAGGGTCACATGCCTGGGTTTTGGGCTCAACCCCCAGACGGGAGAGTGCAGGGGGCAGCCGATCAATGATTCTCTCTCATCATTGATGTTTCAATCTCTCTCTCCCACTCCCTTCTTCTCTCTGAAATCAGTATATATATATAAACTGTGGGTAAGTCCACTGGATCAGTAAACTTATAGACAAGTTGGCATGTCTAGATCATGAGTACACTGTCAGCTCTTGATTCTCTCAAAATTTCTGAGTAGACAACAAAGAGAAACATAGTTTGGCTATATTTTATAAATCACTGTCTTTCTCTATCTTGACACTTCTTTCCTTTTCTTTTTCCTTCCTTCCTCTGTGTGTGTGTGTGTGTGTGTGTGTGTGGCATAGAGGACATACTGCAGGAATGAGTAACTGAGACAGCCATTCTGGGTGCTGGTCAGTAGCTTTTCATAGTCATATTCCCTTTCGGTATCCTCTAAAGTTACTGAAACAAATGTTAAATAATTTCCCACATCACAATCATTATAGAGGAGTAAGATCTGTCTTGGTCCTTCAATGACCATCTAAGTGATGGTCATCTTGGTCCTTCAATGACATTTTTCCTGAGCCTGAATCCAAGTGAAATGAGTCTAGCAGATTATTGGTGATTCTAGGTTTCATGAATTCTTTATTGCACTTCTGATGTCCTGTAAACATATTTCAAATTGACCATAAACTAAGGTCATTTTATCAGGCACTGAACTATATTTACAAGACATGGTGACTTATCGTTTTTACTGGGATTTTTATCAGTGAACATCTTGAATCTTCCAACTATTGTAAAATTCACAATAAACCGTCCTGGATTCAGTTCTGCTGGAAGTTCACTTTGTAGTTAAAAAAAAGAAAGAAAACAAAATCACATTGGACATTACTTAGTTACTATTCTCCAGGTAAAGAACAAAAGCCTTGGGTTCCATGTGGGGCTTGTTCTCTAAGTTGTGACACTACTTTAAAGGACTCTTATTTTTTATTTTTATTTGGCTTACCTTCTCTTATCTCAGATGAAGCATGAGTTTTTGCCCAAATTAGTTACCAAGTGCATTTCAGTAAACTTGCAAAAGTTCTCAGAAATAACGCTGCTTTGATTATCACCAAAAAGCACATTTTTCCAATTAACATTTTTCTTTGCACATGTTCTCTCTCTTATTTTATTCTATGTTTTTGCTTGCTACAGACATCCCTGATCCTCCAGTGGCACCGAATGTGACAGACGTGGGAGATGATTGGTGCATCATGAACTGGGAGCCTCCTGCCTACGATGGAGGGTCCCCAATCTTAGGTAACTGCATGCTGGTCAGTCTGTGGAACTGCCCCTGGAGTGGTGTCCTGAATGCACGTCAGTACAGAGTACATTAAAAATTTGGCATTTAGAAGAAAATTTATTATACTGTCTTTACATATCTTTTCAAAATGAAATACTGTATTTTAGGATGCTCTGTACGTATTCAAGGGTTTTAATAGCCCTGATGGATATTGTATGATTGTGTGTTGTTTTTTTGGTTGACATTTATATTTGACATAATATTTAATTATATTGAAACACTGTGAGTCTAACTTTAAACCATTCTAGTAAGTAAATGTCTAGTTTTGTAGAATTGTGTCTGTGGGGAAATTTATTTTAGAGTTAAATACTTAGAGAATTTGCTTTCCCTATGGAACAAAAACTCTTTTCTACTTACTCAAAAAACTGGTCATTTCCCCTTCATATAGTTTGGGCTAAATCTATTGCTCACCTATACCAACTCTATAAGTTGGTATGACCTACATATTTATTATCTATTTTTCTCTTTTCTTCTTAGTACAATTCTAATTTTTTTCTAGTCCTGTTATTTTTCTTTCTCCTATGCTGTTAATACTATTATTCCCTATAATCTCAAACAACTGATGAAATAAGGTGGTTTAAAAATGACATACATTGACTTAGAGTGCAGAGAATATTGGAAAATTGAAGAACTTCTAATATCTGACCAAGTATAGTTTTAGAGACCAAGGGGAAAAAACTTACGTTTCTATTTTATGTCATCTGTAGGATACTTTATTGAGAGGAAAAAGAAGCAAAGCTCCAGGTGGATGAGGCTGAACTTTGAGCTCTGCAAAGAAACAACTTTTGAGCCCAAAAAAATGATTGAAGGCGTGGCCTACGAGGTCCGTATCTTTGCCGTCAATGCCATCGGCATCTCCAAGCCCAGTATGCCCTCCAAGCCATTCGTTCCTTTGGGTAAGTCAGGAGAGATGTGTTCTTGTCCTGGAAATCATTACCCCAGATTATGACGGCTTCCTTCCGACCTCCCACGGGAGCCGATCTGGAGGCTTCTTAGAGTGGTGGGTGAGCAGGAGGTTGGAGGTGGTTAGGAGTTTTCTGACTAAGAAATTTGTAGAGTTGAATGTCTTCCTAATGTTGGCCCTGAAATTCATGACCAGAATTCCAATGACAGCTGTGGGTGGCTCCAGTTTCTGCTCCCCACTGAAAACATGTTGCTGAACTCACTGACACATGACCACACACCATTTGTCCTTCTGAAGGTATAACCCAGCACCTTGTGTAAACACTGTAACTACAACAGATTGAGATCATTCAACAAAATGCGCTTCAGAACTAGTCTTTGCTTTACAAGCACATCTTAAGTGTTATCTATTGAACCAAAAAAAGCCAGTTCAGCAAAGACAAAGAAACAGAAGGTGAGGCCTTCGCTATTTTATGGTAGTGAATTTTTTTTTCAATAGAAAGACTTAATACAAGAGTTTGCAATTTAGAGAGTTATGGGAAATGTATTCTAGATCATTAGATTCCAAATTTTGACTTTTTCCTAACTTCCTAGGGCCTCCACACTAACCTCCCAAATTGGAGGAAACATGTGGCAGCATTTTAAAATATTTCCATGTTGCCCAGCCAGTGTTGCTCAGTGGTTAAGCATTGACCTGTGAACCAGGAGGTCATGCCTGGGTTGTGAGCTCAATCCCCAGTGTGGGGCATGTATGAGGCAGCCGATCAATGATTTTCTCTCACCTTTGATGTTTCTATCTCTCTCTCTCCATTTCCCTTCCTCTTTGAAATCAGTCCTATATAATAAAAGCCTAATATGCTAAGTGTTTGCTCATCCGTTCAACCAATCAAAGCATAATATGCTATTGATATGCTAAAGCCGCTCAACTGCTTGCCTATGACATGCACTGACCACCAGGGGGCAGATGCTCCAACCGGTAGGTTAGCTTGCTGTGGGATCCGGCTGATCCGGACTGAGCGAGATGGACCAGACATGCCCTGGAGCACTCCCATGGTCCCTCCCTGACTGGCCAACCTCCCGCATCCCTCCCTGGCCTGTGCCCTCTCACAATCCAGGACCCCTCGGGGGATGTCGGAAAGCCAGTTTCTGCTCAATCCAGCTCAATGCAGAAGCTGCCCCCTGGTAGTCAGTTCACTCCCACAGGGGGAATGCTGCTCAGCCGGAAGCCGGGCTTATGGCTGGTGAGCCTAGTGGCTGTGGCAGATGCTCCAACCGGTAGGTTAGCTTGCTGTGGGATCCGGCTGATCCGGACTGAGCGAGATGGACCAGACATGCCCTGGAGCACTCCCATGGTCCCTCCCTGACTGGCCAACCTCCCGCATCCCTCCCTGGCCTGTGCCCTCTCACAATCCAGGACCCCTCGGGGGATGTCGGAAAGCCAGTTTCTGCTCAATCCAGCTCAATGCAGAAGCTGCCCCCTGGTAGTCAGTTCACTCCCACAGGGGGAATGCTGCTCAGCCGGAAGCCGGGCTTATGGCTGGCGAGCCTAGTGGCTGTGGCCTCTCCTGCCTCTGTGGCAGCACTAAGGATGTCCAACTCCCATGGGGAGCGGGCCTAAGTCATCAGTCGGACATCCTCCAAGGGCTCCTGGACTGCGAGAGGGCACAGGCTGAGCTGAGGGACACCCCCCCCCCCAGAGCATGCACAAATTTTGTGCATCAGGCCTTTAGTAAAAATATATTTTTAAAAATAAAATGTTTCCATGTCTAGCAGATCTTTGCACACAGCATATGCTTGAGGAGTCTAAATTTAATTTTATTAAGATGTGGGTCTTCTGTGTATATTTTTATTTGTATCCTAGCTCATTTTATTACCATTCCTGGTGCCATAAACTCTGCAGTTAATAATTTCTTCTTTTTCTGTCTCTTTTATCTTTGAAGCTGTAACCAGCCCCCCTACACTTCTGGCTGTTGACAATGTAACTGACACCACTGTCACAATGAAGTGGCGGCCCCCAGATCAGATCGGTGCTGCAGGTTTAGATGGCTATGTGCTAGAGTATTGCCTTGAAGGAAGTAAGTACAACTCATGATTAAAATGAATACCATCATCACTAGGTGAGATATGCTCCCCCTTTCTTTTGTTTCTCTCTCTTGGGAACTCATCTCCTGCCTACTGAAAATGACAAGCCAAAGGTCATCCTTCTAAGATGGATAAAAATTTAGCCCTTCTTTGATACTCAAGGCTAGCAAATTAAGATCTCAAAAATATCCTAGCTTAGCTGCCTGATGGGACAGCACTATTGATCTAAGTCAAGATATAGGAGGGAGGGGGTCCTGAAAATAGTTCAGGGACTTCCAGTTCTTGAATTGGTGGAATTAAATTGTACCAAAGCAAAATAAAAGTCTAGTTAGAAAGAAGCAAATTAGAAATTCTCAACCCTAAACTGAGCAGACGTCAGCAATCAAAAGAGCTGCCTCTTTCTGGGGAATAAAGAATGACTACATACTAGTATTTGGCTCTTTGGTGATCATCCCCTGCCTTCTAAAGTGGGAA